ATTGCATTTGCATATTTGAAGATTATAGCTATCAAGGAAGCAAGTAGGAGGAAGGTAGTCCACCGTCGGAAAGTGCGAGAGAAGATACTATTAGAGTAACAGAGGCCGTTACATTTAACTGTTTCAACAGTGAAATGATGGGACCCAGGTGCCACCCAAGTAGCACACTTAAATTCATGCAGTTGGTGTACCAGTGAAAGCACCTTGGCAGTGTAATTGCAATGAAAATATTTGTAGAAACGACAGAAGGAAGCCAAATCATGTCTGTGAGAAAGTGGCTGCCGACGAGATGCCAGAACAGGGCATATCACATTGCATATGTGTAATATGCCACGGACATTCGAATTGTGTAAGAAACCTGCTTATCACCATAAAAGATATTGTAAATATTTCTATCAAAACAAATAAGCTTGAATACACACAATATATTTATCATATCTTGAAAATATTACTACGTCGGTTGATTAAGATCAGTTTTATGATGAAACATTGACATGCATAATAAAACCTGCTAGATTGTAATCAGCTGTATAATTGCGAAGGATACCACCCGCGTTACCGTAATACTGGTGAAGGTATTCAATCTGATCAGGATATTCTAGAAGTCTGGAATTCAAAATGGTGGCAAGTTTTCCACATTGGTGCGCCGTAACCCTCTAAATCTAGGAGTCAAAATCTAAATGTAGCCTACATATTCCTTGAATATAACACTAGTAAAAACGTTCTTTCAAATATATATATATATATATATATATATATATATATATATATATATATATATATATATATATATATATATATATGTATATATAAGGGTAAAAAGAATATATTACGTTTTGTTTTGCCTTGTATATATACAAAGGAAACAAATGTCCAGGGTTGTATTTCGTAAATTTTCAAAAAGAAATGCTATGCCTCGCTTTCGGATCAGTATTTTATAAATTGGCATTTACTTGAGATCAAACACCGATCTCTCGACCCGCATAACATCCTGATTCCGATTATTAACATTTTCACTATATTAGTGAATGTCAAAAATATTATATCTCCTTAAAAATGATCAAAGAAAAGTTACAGTAAGGCAAACGATAAGGCAGAAACAATAGTATAACCGATATGATATATCGTTTGGGGAGTTATGTGTCAATCGCTTAGATTTGTACATTTGACTTAATTTTTGTGAAAAATCAAAACAAATTATTTGTATTTTAGCTACTTTCTTTTCATTTTTTTTATCCTTGTTGTTTCATACACAAGTGCAGTCATTTTTTTTGTCAAAATGTGATATTTTATTAATATCGGCGAAAATTTTCTTTTTTTTTTCAAATTTTATCTGTTTGATTTTTATAAAAATATATTTTTAGATATCACTCTGCAAGCATTTGATCTTAATGAAAAAAAATGTTATTCTACATGAATTATATAATTATGTAATAATATTATATAATTACGAAATATTCTAATATAGCTGCTTCAGTCTTAACTGATGTTCATGTTATTTTGATTCAAATTATTATTAATAATATTATTAATAATTCATTTTGTATGATCATTCTCTATGTTTAGAAGCTTGCCGTCACGTGGCAAATAAAAGGAAATGATCGCTTCCAGGTCACAAGCAGTCCTTAAGGCACCAATGAATAATAATAATAATAATAATAATAATAATAATTTATCGCCCGCTCTACACATAATACTCAGTATCTGGTGGGCACCAGGCCCATGTCTCATTAGAAACCCCGTTGTTATTCAATCTTAAGTTGTCTGGAAACCCCCAATTGCTTTACATTAAAAAGAAATTACATTTGCGTAAGACTTTCTAAGAAAAAAAAAGTAGTATATTTCAAGCTGATGTTCTAAATTAAAAATATGAATAAAAGAATATTTTCAAAAAGATATAAAATAGCGAAAAACGTGCTAGAAAATCCCTCCTGTGAAAATATAATTTTCTGAGTGTTGTAACTTCTTGATTCGCTCTTGAGCTGTATATCTGTTTATCTGTCTATCTAAATTTGTTCATACTCCTACCTAGCCGATTCGAAGCTTACATATCTAGCTCACTCTGTCATTTTTCCACACCTGTGTTCTTAAATCTTTTGTGTTTCTTTGTTTAGGTGCGTCGAACAAGGAAGATTCATATTCATGAATAAAACTACTTATTTGAACTCGATGCAGTTCTACAGTTTGGAATATGAGAAATAAATTACTGAAAAATGGGATAAACTTCATTTCAGCTTTAGAGAAAACAATATCTACGCTAAGATTTTACGTAGGTAAACCAATGAAACGCAAATTAATACAGCAAAAAAGAAGCATTTATTTTTCGTAGCAATTATTAGTTTATCTACACCATTACATTCTTTACCAATGCACTTTGACCGAATGCTTATCCACAGATTTCATTGGTCGAACATTATACGGTATTTTTTCCGATTAAAATTAAAATGAATAAACAAAAAAGCCTATGAACTTATCTATCTATCTATCTATCTATCTATCTATCTATCTATCTATGTGCTTGTATAAAAATATATGGTTCAATTAATACATCCGATTAAAATTA